TTCTGCTTTAAATTTACCTATACAAGCATGAACTCGAACATTTAGATGAGTACGAAGAACAATTGACCATTTATATCTATATAAATATTGAATAATTTCCATTAGAAAAAAAACAAAAGTAAAACTCACCCTTCTGTAAAAGCTTCAATATCTTCACGTTGTTCATCAAGTGTTTGATCTAAATCAAGATAAGGTCCAAATTCTGTTCTAGTTCCATCTTGTCGATATAATTCAAGTGTACAATCAGCAATCTATTGGAGAAAAACAAATATTGATCAATTTTTTGAATTCAATTTAATTTACATTATGTGGTGCATTGAGAATTTTATGTATACTATTTAATTGATTACTTAAAACAGCTGATGTTAAAAATGTAAAAGATGGAGGACGAGCTGGTTCAGGTAGATTAACACTTGAAAATGGATCAATATCATCGAGATATTGAATTCGACATTGTAATGTTGATGAATTATCACTATCACTATGAGTTGACATAATGCTTTTTTACTTTACCATCTAAAGTATTAACAAAAAAATTGAATTATGGTATATATATATATATATAAAGGCTAGACATTCATTTATGATCATCATATCTATTGTAGTAAGCATAATTTCCTTTTTATCAGAAGGTCAAGAGGAAAACGGCTTATAAAACAAAGCTTTCGTATTTATTATTAATTTATAAGAATCTTTCTATAGAATAGTAGATGTTAACGTAGATAGATGTATTGATCAAGGATAAAAAAAGGAAATATTTCTGGATATGTATATATAAGTAGTCTATCAGATGGAACGTAACATATCGGGAAAAAAATTCTGAAGGTATTGCTACTGACTAAAATCTGTTCTTCTCTCATTCTACCGAACAATAAACTGATGCATATAGTAGTGTATAGAAGATTCGTTACTCTCCATGGGACACTTAATAAAACAATGACACTGAAGAGAAGAAGAAAGAAACACGACAGCGTTTTGTATATATTTATATCGGTGAGTGTGTGCAGAAAGAAGAAAGAATAACTTATCGTTCGCTATGCTGCTTCCATTACATGAACATCTCACGTCTCACCTCTCTCGTTGGTATATTCGCGACATGAGTAAGCTTCTAAGAGGTTAAATTATTTCTTTATGTCTATAGACAAAACTAGTCAAGAAAAAGAGAGAGAGAGAGAGAGAGAGGGACATGAAAGATATTGTTGTCTACATATTATGATTACAAAAAATAGGTGGTAACAGGACAGTTAGAACAAAACAAATTTGACCGATATAATGACAAGGAGTTATTAATGAGAAAAGAACAAATAAAGCCGCTGTATCAAATATACTCATCTTTGATCAAAACAAGAAAAAAAAGTTTGTATATATCGGCTACTTTTTTTTTATCGATAAATAAATATAAAATAAAAATAATAAAAATCAGTTGGAACGTGGACAATGACAACAAGGTGATATAGGAAAAAGTATTGACTCTGGATTGCTTATAGTCACATTTGGAATATGATGTATACGAATATATTCATTAATAAATAAACGATCATAACGTTGATGAAGATTGATAGAATGAAAATCATCTTTGCTCATTTGTTGATTAGTATTCGATTTAGATAATCGATCCAATAATCGAGATAAACGATTGCCAATATTTATAAAAGAATTCAAACTAGATTGAAGAAGAAAAAAACCGTTCAGATTGAATAATACTTCGATTATATAATCGAACACCGTTTTTTTTTCTATTTTGTTTTTAAGATGATTTAACTTACGTCATCGTTTTCTTCAAGCGATTACGATCGTTACGTGTTATTTTAATAATTGACTGTAAAATTGAATCATTCGTATGAAAGACTATTTGATCATCACAATTAACAAATACATCATAAATATTTGTTTTTTCTTGAAAAATTTTTTCAGTTGTACAACCAATATAAGATGGTTCATTGATTAATACTAATAAATCCGTAATAGTAATAAAAAAGAGTGGATTTACCGATTGATTAAGAATATGAAGGAAATAAACTATATGAATACTTATATAATTTTTAATCGTTTGAAGAAGAAAAAAATCTTTACCTGCATTACAAGTAGGTCCAATGGGCGAACATGAATAAAGTAAAATACGTTTACCAAGTAATATTAATCTTGAAAGTGGAAATATCGATGGACCAAAATGTTGAATAAATTCAGTAAATAAAGTATCCTATAGAAGAAAAAAAATATAATTAATATTTTTCTAAGGTTTCTTCATGAAAGAAAAAAAAATACTGAAATCCTAGTAAAACTATAATATTGTATAAATTTTGATTTGTTTAGGAAATATTTATAACACTGCCAATTGATTTACATAATTTCACGATTATTATTGTTTTAACTTATGAATATTATATGAAAAAATCCTTGACAAGTCTGTATGAGATCAAGTTTTTATCGCTAAAACTTATTTTTATGATCGTTCATGGATAAATGCATTCTCCTAACTATACTACATATTCTATTTATCTGTAACTTGATATTTCTCATGTAACATATATTCTCTAGTGAGACACATGAAATACATTTGTTATATATTTTCTTATCACAAGAGTATTAGATAAAATGAATATAAGTATCTTACATAAATAGAAAGTGAAATTGGAATAGATTGAACATCTCGGGAAAGAAGTCCTTTTAAACGATCATAATTGACTGATGTTTGGTTAAGATAAAGCCTAAAAATATCAATAAATTAATAATATTTTATTGAAAATTTTATAAATAATCTCACTTGGCTTCAGTTTGTAGAAATGGAATATATGACTGAATATGTGTAATAGATGAAGTTATAATACCCACAGATTTAATACACATACCACGTTGTGATTGATCAACTACTGATAAAGCTGATCCATCATCATCATTCGTTATATCAGCTCGAGCTATACATGCTAATCCATATTTATTTTCATGGCGAAAATATCTATTGAAATATAATATATTCTTACATTCGAAATTAATAAAAAAAAAGAAAAAACTTTCTTACACAAAATCTTGATTGATACGATGTGATCCACTTGGTAATACTTTATATTCTACACCTTTTAATTCCATTTGTTCTTTTTCCGGCATTTGAAATTCAATTATATTACCTTGAAAGTCCATCAAATGAATGGTAAAGAAGAAAAAAAATTCATCATTATTTTACCAGATTTAACATCAAAGGTAACAACAAAAACAGCTTCAACATTTGGCTCTCGACCATCTGATGTTATTAATTGTTCATCATCATCATCATCTAATAAAGGTACATCATCATCGTCGGCCATGGTTTGTTTTATCTTTTATCTAAAAATAAGAATATATGATACATTTTTACTACTATATCTGTTATTATTTATTGCAATCAATGACATTGATACGTCAAAATTTATGATTAATACTAACGAGAGAAAAAAAACAGCAGCAGGTAAGCAAGCACAAGATCACATTTTTTATTCAAAACACATTAATTGATTAATCATTTAATTGTAGGTGAATGAGAAGAGCCAATCAAAAAAATATTAAAAGACATTCTGTTTTTTTTAAATTCAACTAACGACATCTCGATTTAAAGTTGTCATAACAAATTATTGAAATGTTCACTTCATCAATTTATACTCAATTAAAAGTTTATGACTTACATGATGAAGATATCTATTGAATGTCGTTTATTTCGAATACAAATGTGTATTTGATGAGTCAATATTTAAACGCCTATATACGATAGACGAACATGAAGAATTTCTTTTGCATTGAAAGTATCACAATTGAATCAAATTATTTATAAAGTGCTCATGAATGACTATCATACTCCGTGTTAAATAAATATGTTCTTTTATCATAGTTGTTTCTAGCATAAAATATGTGTCTGAGTCTATATTTAAATTTATATAGTATTATAATACTAATCAAGACACTTTTATTTAAGCAAAGGAAAACAGTTGATTAATTCGAATAGAGAATTTAAATCAATCATATTTTTGAATATAATAATTAGAAACTAATATGCTATTCTTTTCATACGAGTCAATATTATAGACAAAAAATGACATTTAGTCTTGTTTTATGTTGAATAATTTACTATCAATATTCATATGAAAAAAGGTTACATCTCCTTCTTACAAACTTCTGCATTTAAAGGCATAAAAAAGATTTCAAATGTCAATTTTTCCGTCATTATCTACAAATGATTAACTATGTTAACCTTCATACAGTCATCAATACATATACTCTATATGCCAATTTCTCGATAGAGTGCAAGTACTGTGGTTTTTTCACTTCACATCGGGTGTGGATGTACACATACTCACACCCTCATTTAGTTCAATTCGCCGTTTTGTTTGTTTTATATGATGTTTTACTAAAGCTTTTTGACTCTATATTCATTAAAATACCAGCTTTTCTTTTGCTGCATTTGATATCATTGTACAAAAAAAGTAATGATATACGTTGTAAACGTGTAAAATTATTTTGAATAGGCTGAGAAAATACTGGAAACCATAAATGATTATTATTAAATTTTTTCTTAACTAATTGTGTAAATAAATGTGCAAAAGTTTTTAGTTTGTTTAGCTGTTGCTAATGATACAATATAATCGAAAAGATCGTCATCTTTTTCAACAGCAAGTTAATTGTCACAAATAAAACGAAAATGAAAAGAAATCTCAGTTTTGATTTTTTTCCCAGTTTGTTAATTGAAAATATTAATCATATTTAAAAACAAAGATGCTTTGCCTTTGCCACCAGAAATATCATGCCAAACACGAAGATGAAGTAATGGACTAAGTGGTGCTTGAATGCTTATAACAAAATTTCTTATATTGCTCTAGATCTCGATTTTTAAAATATTTATTGCCTTTAAAGTAGTATTATAAAATACTTTTTAAACAAAAATGTTTTTTTATTTCTATGATTGACGCATTTTATTATATATATATATATACAGTGAAAGTAGTTTAAGTGTTTCATTTCTTGAATAAACTAAAATGGTTCATATACATCCTACGCTTACTATTAAATATATTCTTTCTATTGTTGCTTTTGGTGTAATGGTATATTTTATTACAAGTTGTATTCAAACATATTTGGGTAAAATATTTTGTTTTTAATTAATAATAATAACTAAAATTTGTTGTTTTCATTATATTTAGTTTATCCAACTCAAACACGAGTTTCAATTCGTCTTAATCGTTCTCAATTATTTCCAGCAGTAACAATTTGTAGTGGAAATCCTCTTCGATATGATAAATATTTAATACCACTTATATCCTATATTAAAACACATAATCTATCCTCTTCACCACCAAATATTACTCAAAATGATATTTATAATAGTGCATTTAATTTAATGATTGATTTAATAAATAAGAATAAATTTGAAGAAACATTTTCCTATGGTTTTCAATTAGAAGATATCTTACTTGATTGTACATATAATGGTTATAATTGTCGATCAATGTGGATAAAAACTTTATCACCAATATTAGGTAACTGTTATACATTCAATCGACAAACAATCGATAAAAACACAAATTTATTTCAAATAAATCAGATTAATGGAAATGTTCAAACATTACATAATGGTCTTATAATGACATTTTATTTAAATATTGAACTTTATTTTCCAATAATAGAATATGGTCTTGGTTTAACAGCTATTTTACATCATCCAAATGAACAACCATTAATACGTTATGCAGGAAAACGTTTTTCACCTGGTTTTGAACATACATTAGTTTATGAAAAATCATTAACAACTTATTTAGGTTCACCATATACATTATGTACACAAATAATTACAGATGATATGAAAGCATTATATAATTTATTTGATAATAATACTGAATATGTTTATTCTGAAACAGTTTGTTTAGAATTATGTCAACAAGCATTTATGTATGAACAATGTGAATGTATTTATCCAATTTATTTTTATTTAAATTATGTAAAATTAAATTCATTTTTACACCTAATAAATTTCATTATATTTGTTGTTGTTGTTTATCTTTAGTTAAATATTAATGGTCAACTTCGTCGAGTTCGTATATGTACACCGTGGACATCGGAATATAGATGTACCATTGAAGCTCGAAATCGTATTGCAAATAATCCAAATCTTTTACAAACACGTTGTCCTCATTGTCAATCACAATGTATAATACATAAATATTCAAGTGATTTATCGTCACTTAAAGGACCAAGTGATTCACAAAAAAATTATTATAAAAAATTAATACTATCAAATTCAACAATACCAATTAAATCTGATTTTTCAATGAATTCAAGTTACTATTTAGATCGTAATTATCTTAAATTATCAGTTATACCTTTAAATTCATATGAAACTATATATGAAGAAAAAGCAACTTATATATGGTCAGCATTTATATCTGATCTGGGTGGTCAAAGTGGTTTGTAAGTTATATAAGTAAAACAAAAAAGTTCTTTAAAAACATTTTTTCTTTTGAATTAGATGGTTAGGTATTAGCGCATTGAGTATCTTTAATTTAATTGAATATTTACATAGAAAAAGTCAAATTATTCGATTAAAAAGAAAAGCAATGGCTCAAGTTCACCCATGCGAAACAGAATCAATATCCAATAATAAATATTAATTTCTTAATTTAAATTCGATTTGTTTTTATCAACATCAGTATGAATGATAAATATCAATTGGAAGATTATCAACAAGTGATGCAGCTATATATTAACATTAAAAATCATTTCTTTTCATGAAATAAATAAAAAGTTAATATTGATAAGAATAACTGAATGTTTCAATAATTGAAAGAATATAGAATTGATCAAAACAATAGAAATATTTGTATCAAAGTACATCTCTCTTTAAAAAACAAACTAAATAATTGATATCTCATTTATTTCCCTATCGTGCATCACATATATACATATATATAAAGTCGAGTCCACTTATAAGAGCACAGTCGGGGGTATAAAAATAAATTCAATCCATTTAGTAATATTGACCCATGACGATGAGATACATTTGCAATTAATAAAACGTAAATACTTCAAGTTAGGAAAACGTTGTTTATTAATAATGAACGAAAGAAGTGGTAGCATAATTTCTTCATTTAGATTCATGTTGATAAGTGATTCACAATCTATATATAACCGATCAAGATATACTTTTTTTCCAGTTTGTTAATCTAACACATTAATTCTAGTAAAAAAGCAAGACGCTCTGTCTTTGTCATCGGAATTATCATGCCAAACACGAAGATTTGTTTTCGATAACTGTACAGTTAGGAAAGAGTCGTTGGTTTGACCGTTTGCTAATGACTTTTTTTTATTCATTTTCTTTTACAATATTGTTATAATTATATAAATATGTTCTTTTTCTCCACGACCTATGACTATAAAGAAATCAAAACAGAATGATCAGAGTAGAGATGACTATTCAGTTGTTTGAAATGGACTTAATTGAGAAGTTTCTCAAGTTCTTATAACATCGTATCCAAAATATTCATTAGCGACTGAAAATGGAGCGTATTATATCGGGTATTTTATTTATGTTTTAAGAAAACAAACAATAATTCACTTTTAAATATTAAAATTTTATCTGTCACGTTTTTACAGTTTATTTGAAGAAAGACATATATAGATAATTTTCATTGCATACGTTGAATTTCCATCAAGAAATGAACCAAAAATCACCAATAATTAAAGAGAAATTATGGCAATGAAATTGAATTGTATGATCCAGCGACACTTAAAACTGTATCTGATTTTTGTTTACATAATTTTCTTGTTATTTACTATCACGCGCGAGTATCTCTTGTGCTATGAAAGATCATGTTTTTATATTTATATGAAATAAATTTGATGTACGTAGAACAGTTGATTGTTAAATACTGTTCGACAGTACTTTTATTTTATACATTCAAGTAACTATTCTTATGACATTGACATGCCAGTATTCATTGACGATGAAGATATGATGAAATAACAATTAAAATGATTAGTTTCATAATGTTTGTGTTATACAAACAAAACGGCAATAGGCGAATAATCTACATTTTTTTCTTGGCACTATATATTATTAAATTATAAAAACATCTCAGATAAAGAATAAATACTAGTTTGTAGAAAGTAAAGAAATACACATTCCTGACTGAAAAAAAATTATCTGTTCTATTCTTAAAAAAGAGGAAATAAAAATTTTTATTTTTGAAGTAAATAGAAAACGACTATTTTTTTTATTTATCAACTGCAATGCATTTGCTGTTCTTTAATATAAGGAAGTTATGAGCACTGTAGATTATTTACTTACACAATACGTTCTTATATATTAAAAGAGAGAAAAAAGTTAATAAAAAAAAAATGTTTGTTTCCATAACACCGTTGTTTTATGGAAGAAACATCGTCAAACAATCCGATCATTTACTTCAACTAAAATATTTTCTTGTTTCAGTCAATTCAATATCACTGTAAGTATTTAGATGTATATAAAGAGAAAAAAGAAAATTGCATCGTCTCCTTTATAATCGAAAAGAAAGGGAATAAAACTATTTCAAAAGACCCATACTCCGTAATATTCATTCAAATAATCAAATAGTTGATGAGTATTGAAAGAAATTTAGAGAACAGAATATCTGATGCTAGCCTAAATTTTAATTGCTCCCTCAAGTTAGAAATACGTTTACTTATTGCCTGCACACTTACTATTCATATGTATATAAGTATATCATAGATTTAGTAATCGACAACAGAAGCTAGAACATTATATTAACAATGGCCTACAGACAATTGCGTTGCGCTTTTTACGTATTTCTATATATGATTAATTTACCAAATGTTCAATCAACAGCATCTAATTCATTATCGGATTGTCAAGCAGCAGCTTCATCATTTCGAACAACAATTAATTATACAGCCAGTAATATTGTAAACACTATCGGGATTAATACTACTTGTGCAGCCAGTGATGTTGTTTGTCCTGGTCAAACTACCAATGGTGTTTGTGTTTGGCAACGGAAATTAAGTGCTGTTTGTCGAAATGCCAGTGGTGTTATTAAAATTCGTATTCAGACAAATGGTTTACCTCCACGGTGTGCTAGTGTACCCATGGGCAGTTTTGCCGA